GCTTTTCCCATTTCAAAGATTCACATTCTGAGAATATATATGTTTACAGTTCTGGTTCTTAGTGAATGAACTTAGTTTTCCTAATGAGTGTCATTTGTTCCAACTTTCCGGTCTTTTCAGTGTATAGAATATGATTTTCATTCCCCTTCTTTCCTAGTGTTAATTGAATTTCTGTACATCTTTTGATTTGATTGTCAGTACATTGGAAAAGGGAAGTCTTTATTTTTTTCAGTATTTTTAAAATATAAATTATAAGTGAGTGTCCCTGGATTGTTTTCTCGTTTTCATTTTTTTTACATTTCCTATGAGTGTTTGTCATTTGTTCTTCCAGATCCAAGATGACAAACCATCACCAGAAAATGTAATCATTTTGTCAAGTCTGAATTTTGTCCAAATATCTGTATTTTGAACATTTTATCATTTAAGGAGAAATTATTCATTTGCAGCAATAACATTTTGTAAGCGTTTCAAAACAACTTGGCACACACTATGAAATATCTTTGATATTTAAGCTGCTTCTGTCTAGGAGTATAGTATAAATTTGAAGAGCTCATAAAACAGTTCAGTATTGTCTTTTGCATCAAATCAGAGACAAAAAGCAGTTGTTTCATAGCAAAAGGGTGTGGTTGGTTTTATATTTCCTGCTTTAATTTCACATCTTTAAAACCAACCATTCACTTCATCAACTCAGATTTTTTTATTTGATTTTTGTCGTCCCCCCCTGCCCCCCGCCCCGACCCTGAGAAAATATCTTAACTAATTCATTTTGACAAGGGTCAGAAAGTATCAGATTGATACTCTTTAGAGCAGTACTCTTTTTAAAACTACAGAATCCCTTTGTGGCTAAACTAGTTGATTTTCCTTATAATTGTGATGTTATTTTTTTAAGAAGATATTTTATCATGTGAAAACTTTATTCTAGTTAGAATAATAGAAAGTAAAACAGATCTAGTAAACATGATATAAATCCTCATTTAAAAATTTTAATATTTATTTATTAAAGAGAGCACGCGAGAGCCAGTGGGGGAGGGGTAGAGAAAGAGGGAGACACAGAATCTGAAGCAGGCTCCAGGCCCTGAGCTGTCAGCACAGAGCCCAGCCTGGGGCTTGAACTCACAAACCTTGAGATCATGACCTGAGTCGAAGTCAGATACTTAACTGACTGAGCCACCCAGGTGCCCCAGCTAAATCCTTATTTTAAAATAAACTTACCTTTTCCAGATTGCCTACTAACGGTTGCTTTCACTTCAGAATATAAGTTTTGATAAACACAGGGTGCTTTTGAGAAAAGGAAAATGTTAGATTCAGTTAAAAAAAAAAAGTACTGTTTTATTTAGAATAATACAATCTATAGAAAGGTAGATTTCACACGTCCTGAATATGTGATTGAGAATATGTATAGGTTTAAAAACACTAACACAGCAGTCTGATCAGTCCATAGTTTGGCTTACATGTGGCATAATTAGTATGTGTTTCATTGTCCTGTAATCTGTTTAGAGGATTGTGATTTGTATAGATTTGATGGCTATGGTTTAGGAGGTAGGTGGGTTGTTTTATAATTCATAGTAAAAAAATATGTTTTCCATGTTGTAAAGTTATTTTTCCTTCTGTGGAGTCCAATAGTAATTAAGAATCAGATTTTATTTAATAAATGCTCGGGGCGCCTGGGTGGCGCAGTCGGTTAGGCGTCCGACTTCAGCCAGGTCACGATCTCGCGGTCCGTGAGTTCGAGCCCCGCGTCGGGCTCTGGGCTGATGGCTCAGAGCCTGGAGCCTGTTTCCAATTCTGTGTCTCCCTCTCTCTCTGCCCCTCCCCTGTTCATGCTCTGTCTCTCTCTGTCCCAAAAAGAAATAAACGTTGAAAAAATAAAAATAAAAATAAAAATAAATAAATAAATGCTTAATGAGTGTTCAATTAGGCCCTTGAATGTTTTTATAATGTGTATAGTATTGTTATACTAATACCTTTACAGTGTTCTCAATACTGCTAATTAGACTCAGATTTTTTACTTGAAATTGTGTTTTGTTGCATTTATTATATTTAGGATCTCGGATAGATTTAGAAAGAGAATGAAGACACATTAAATTTGTATTTGAGGTGTATTCTACAAACTAGGGACTAAATAAGACTTATATCTGGTTATGAAATCTGCTTTGATCTTGTAGCAATTTTTGAGAAACTAGAATTAAAGCAGTGTTCTTACATCTTCTCCTGAATTTGGCACTATGCCACAAAAAGACTAATGTTTGTAGTAAAAAAAAAAAAAAAAAGTTATTACGTAATTTGGGTTCTTCAGTTAAAATAATAACTTTCATGTTATATCCTATTTTCCTTTCCTTCCACATTTTTCAGTCTGTGTATTCAGGAAGATTATGACTTCACATCTGTAATAAAATCCTTTCTCCTCTTTATTGTTTTTGACATTACCTTTCATGAAATTATCTGTAAGGTAATATCTAATAAAGTCAAATGTTATGGTACATACAAGTATAATAAGAATGAGCAGGGAAAGGTCAGCAAAGGCTTCATAGAGGAGATGGAACTGGTTTGAAAGAATGGGTAGAATTGTGAAGGTTGAAGTGCATGTTAGAGGATAGAACTTTGTGTGTGTGTGTGTGTGTGTGTGTGTGTAGGAAGTGTTTACACTTTCCTGAAGAATAGCTGAGGACAAAATATGGAAGAAATAAACTTTAGTGAATATTGATACATAGGGAAACTGCTTTGACTTGAAAATCAGGGAGATTGTTGTCATGGAGCATTAAAAGATAAATAAGATTGGATAGGAAAAATAGGAACAGATCATGAAGCACATGCAAGATGAAGGACAAGATTTTAGTTAGCTTTGATCCAAAGAATGTTGAAGTGCCACTTGTGGTTTCTGAGTAAGGGGTGATAATTGTGATAATTTTAGAAAATTCATTTGGCTATGGTATGCAAATTTGATTAAAGATAAATGGAGCTGGGAGGTAGGAAAACTAATTAGGAAATCTATGGCAGTAATTGATAAGAGTGAAAGCTTTTATTAGAATAAAGCCAACAGAAAGAGGAGATTAATCTGAAGAATAATAAAGGAGAATTCTTTTTAAAAACAGCCACTCCCCCCCCCATTTTAAAAGTTGAAGAAGAATTGTTAAAATGTAGCGTAGAAGTTTAGAACAGAAACCAGACCAATGGTGGCGACACTCATAAATGGGAAAGTTACAAAGGAGAGCTATTTTGTGAGTAAGGATAACTAACTTTTTTTTTTTAATTATTAAACCTTTTTTTTTTATTAAATCTGTTTGTTTGTTGTGTTTTTTACTTTACAGAGTATGTGGGGAGGGGCAGAGGGAAAATGAGAGAATCCCAAGCAGTCTCCATGCATGCCCTGGGCATGGAGCCCTGGGGCTTGATCCCACAACCCTGGGATCAGGACCCTAGCCGAAATCAAGAGTCAGACGCTCAACTGACTGAGCCACCCAGGTGCCCCTGGATAACATTTTTTTTTTTCATGTTGAATTTATTTGATGGTTAGACATCCAGTTGGCAGTTTTTCATTTATTAGAGAATTTGCACTCACTTCAGTGTCACAGAGAAAATCCTCATCTAAATCTCCATGGTAATTATTTTAGAAAATTGAGACTATTTGACATATTGCATACCTCCATCCAGGAGTAGAGATACTTTCTAAGAAGTTAGGGATTACTGTTAAGCCAATAAATGTGTAAGATTTCACCAATTTACATTAAGTGTTAATACGTCACTGCATAGCATTCTGTTAGGGAGGGATACACAGATGAATGATAATTCCTGTAGAGTTACTGATACTCTTTTTAAAAATTTTTTTTAAATGTTTATTCATTTTTGAGAGAGAGTGTGACAGAGATAAGAGAGAAAATGAGCAGGGCAGGGGCAGAGAGAGGGGGAGACACAGAATCTTAAGTAAGCTCCAGGCTCCGAGCTGTCAGCACAGAGCCCGACTTGGGGCTCGAACTTAGCAACTATGAGATCATGACCTGAGCCAAAGTCAGAGCTTTAACTGACTGAGCCACCCAGGTGCCCTTAGAGTTACTAATATTTTAAAACCCATAGTGAAATTTAATAATTATACAGCTGTCCAGTCCATTAATGTAAATACAGGGTCATGATGTGTGACCTTGGGTTTGCCTGTTTTAATTGTTTTACTTGATATTAACTTATAATATTTTCTTTTTTTCCAAATTATTTTTTTTTGACATTCTTGAAGCTATTTTCTTTCAAAATTATGAGAAACAATTCTGTCATTTCTGAAGTTCAGAATTAAAAAGATCCCACAGTACTGCAGATGCTTTTGAGTTTTATATATTTTGGCCTGAATTTTCCAGGCTACAGCTGAAATTCTCCCCTTAAATTTACAGCCTATGACAGTGTTGACTTTTCATACTGAGAATCTCAGCTCATGGGTAAATTAGGCTTTGCAAATTTGGGAAAATGAAGCAAATTTTTGAGAAAAATTGTGGTTAATTTGTTAAAGACACATTTGTGTAAATATGGTAGGAAAATATTCACATAAACACCAGGGAAAGTTAATTGTAGCACTCTTATAAAAATCATGTGTACTTATTTCTTGGTTAACTTTTTAAGATAGTTAAATTGGAAAACAGTCATGTTTTATTCTGTGATTTGTTAAACTTTAATCTTAAATACCAAAATTTCCTTTTGTTTTAAGAGTACCTTCTGTGTCTTTGAGCTTACAGAACTTTGGTTGAGTGACCGAATACTCAGTTTTATACTTAGATATAAAACATAGTGAATATCAGTTTCTCTACAGAAATTGTGAATGTATTAAGTATTTAAATCTTTTTAATATTTCTGGAGGGATGGCTTGGAAAATTAAAGACATTTAATTATTTGAGATTTTTATAACTAGAACTTCTTTCAAAAAGCCTGTTTTGTTAGTAAATTAGTTTTAAAGGCTGCTAGCAAGTCAGGCAGTAGCCAATAAATGAACCTATACTGCTGACATTAATTTATAGGGTCAGCAGGACAAAACTCTATCACAAGATAGCTGATCTGGGAGATAAGCTGCCCCTTATCCCTTCACGAATGATTAGTCAGTCTAGTTCAGCCTCTATTAGAATGACTGATCATGAAGTTGTAAGAGCAAAGGAAGGTACAAAATTTAGCTACCAGGTTTATTTAAATTACAAAAGACATTAATTCCAAAATCATATCTCCTTAATATTGTGAAATTTGCTGCTGTTTTAAAATGCTGAAGATCAGCTTATATAATCTTCAGAGAAGGTGTTGGGCAAGCTCTTTGTATAATTGTCTTAGGGATTTTGGAATTTTTGGCTTTTATGTCTGCAGATTTTATTTTTGTTTTTAATGTTAGATGGAGTTGTTTCTGCCGGTCAATTCAGAGTACTTTCCTGGAATCCAACTTTAGCTTACAGATCTAATAGCACGAACACAGTAGTTTAAAAAAGGAGTTTAAATAGTACATATTGGAAAAAAACTAGTCATTTTGTCATTTTGCTTGAATTTAGCTACTGATAATGTATGTAACTACTGCTTTTTTAGGAGACAACTAAATGCCAAACATTTACTGGGAACTTTATATATATAATTTCTAAAAATATATGGAACAAATGGCCAATTTAATTATTCTAGAAAACGGTAACAGCATTATTGTTTAACCTGGTACCAAAGATATACTTACCTAGTAATGAATTTTCTAAAATGTGCCTAAGCTAGAAATGTGTAGGAAATGAAAGTACTGCTTAAGGCATTTTTACCAAAATTGATTACAGCAGAAAATCTATAGATGTATTTGAATCACTTAGAAATCTAGGTCTAGATAGTTATAATTCTAAGTAATGAGACTGAATTCTTGCCAAAGGTTTATTGTGATATAGGATAATTCAGTATCTGATAATTTGGCCTATAGACTGCATTTCATTGTTGTTTCTGCTTTTGCTGTATAAGGGAGTTTGATGCCCCAGTTAAATGTTTTTGAATACCTCTTTTTTTTTTTTTTAAGACTTCTCGAGTAGCACATTTTTCATACAGTTAAAGTTAAATAATTTTGCATTTTTCCTTATAGTCCTCTCTGCATGTAATATTTACCATTCATCATAAACTGTGAGAAAATTTGAGGTAGAATAAAGAAAATCTCTAAAATAATAAAACCAAAACAAAATACATTAAAGCATGAAAAATAGCAGTGTATTGATTTTTCCAGATCCAGATTTTTCCAGATCTCTATTTTCCTGTTTTACTTTAGGAGGTGTTTTCTTTTCTTTTTTTATGTTTGTTTATTTTTGAGAGAAAGAGCATGTGCTAGAGCAGGGTAGGGGCAGAGAGAGAGAGGGAGACAGAGGATCCAAAGTGGCTCTGCACTGACAGCAGAGAGCCCGATGCGGGGCTTGAACTCACGAAACCATGAGATAGGACCTGAGCCGGAACCAAGAGTCGGACACAACCTACTGAGCCCCCCAGGCACCCCTGTATATGTGTCCTTTTTAAAGGAAAAATTTAGGTCAGTGATCTGACTCTTTCTTAATGGTAGGAGGAGGAGGGGGCCAGTAAGCACAAACCTAATTACACATTTTAAAGGGTAAATTTTTAGAGTTTGTTATTTAAAAAAGTTGCAAATCACCTTGGACTTAGAGCTAAGACGTGAACATTAGAGTTCATAACCTCTTGTTTCAGTGGCAGTCTCCAACTTGATGCTTTCCTGTTGAATTCCATGTCATATTGCAAATATTTATAAAGACAGAATGTTTTCAGCCAGACCATTAAAAAAAACACAAAACGTAACCAGTCATTGGTAGATTTTCAGGCTTTTTGGTATTTTAAAGTGTATTTATTATTTTGAGAGAAAGAACGTGAGCGAGTGGGTGGGTAGGCACGCAAGCGGGTGTAGGGTCAGAGAGAGAGAGGAGAGAGAGAATCCCAAGCAGGCTCCTCACTGTCAGCACAGAGCCTGCTGCAGGCTCAATCCCACAAACCATGAGATCATGTCCTGGCCAAAATCGAGAGTTGGATGCTAACCAGCTAAGCCACCCAGGCGCCCCTTTATTTTTATTTTTATTTCTATTTTATTTTTATTTTTTAACGTTTTTATTTATTTTTGAGACAGAGCATGAGCGGGAGAAGGGCAGAGAGAGAGAGGGAGACACAGAATCAGAAGCAGGCTACAGGCTCTGAGCTGTCAGCACAGAGCCTGGTGTGGGGCTCGAACTTGTGAACTTGGAGATCATGACCTGAGTTGAAGTTGGACGCTTAACTGACTAAGCCACCAGGTGCCCCACCCCTTTATTTTTAAATGCTTATTTTATTTTAGAGAGCAAGCAGTTTGGGGAGGGGCAAAGAGAGAGGGGGACAGAATCTGAAGTGGGCTCTGCTCTGACAGCAGAGAGCCTGATGTGGAGCTAGACCTGACAAACTCTAAGATCATGACCTGAGCTGAAGTCAGATGCTTAACCGAATGACTTAATAGTGATCGTTTTAAATAAAGATTTAAAATATACAGTGACACCACTGAAGTAAATGGGATCAATTATTGGGCTGTGATCTTTAGGTTTGATAAAACTGAAGACAGGAAGAGTTTTTTTTGATATATGAGCTACTGGTTTCCTTGGTCCGTTGTGTCCATACAAAGGAGAATTAGTTCTAGAAGTATGAAAAGAACCTTGTTGTAAGATCCCGTTGTGTAGACCTTAAGATTTCAAAAAAAGGAAATGCAATAATAAATAATACTAGTATTCTTAAGTTGCTTGATGAAATCTCTTAGGTTATCTGAGTATTTACTGTGATTACTGTATGCCCCAGTGATGGGTCGTTATGGAAAGTAGAAATACAGCTTAAAATAATTCTTTCAGGGGCACCTGGGGAGCTCAGGTAGTTAAATGTCCGTCTTTAGCTCAGGTCATGATCTCGCAGTTCATGGGTTCAAGCCCTGCATCGGGCTCTGTGCTGACAGCTTGGAGCCTGGAACCTGCTTCAGATTTTGTGTCTCCCTCTCTCTTTGTCCCTCCCCACTCACGCTCTGTCTTTCTCAAAAATAAACATTAAAAAAAAATTTTTTTAGTACTTCTTTTAGATAGATACATATGTAATGCTGAATGAACAATATAGCTTGCTGTATGTAAGTAAATATATGTATATAGAGAGAGATGGAGAAGTGTAGTAATATGTTTAATTAGAAATGGTTAAAAGTAGTTAATACTGCCCAGGCACTTCCTTTTACATGCCCCTAAATTTGTCAAAAGCTAATCAGCAATGTCTCTGCAAAAAGACTATATGTAATAATGCAAAATAATTTGTTACTATGTTAAAAATGATTTACTGGGCTTTTATTCAAGATTTGTGTTAATGAGTGTGTAATTGTGAGTGGGAGGAATTGTGGCATTTTGTTCTAACTTGTCTTACAAACAAATTACGAGATTAAAAGAAAAATACGCCCTTAAACAGGCTAAACATGCTTTGAGAAAATATTGCCTAATGAAAACATAATTTATTTTATAGTTCATTGCAGCTTCTGATATTACCAATAATTGCATACTAGGTATTGGTAGGAAGGATCAGTACTATAATCAATAAGCATAATCATTGGAAGATTAAATACTATTAGCATACCTGTGTATATTTTCTGTCAGATTCACTCTAGATTGGTTGCTCACTCACAGCTTCATTTTAGTATTGTCATCATTTAGGACCCTATTTGAGTCAAACTGTATAGCTTACTTTGATATTTTAGCTTGATTTGAGAAATACTAAAATAAGACATTCTAAATAGAGATGAATTTTATTTTTGCAGTAGTGTATATTTAGGAGAAGTTGACTTGTATCTTACACTTATTTTCAGTAGTATTGGTGATGACCGACAAATTTCATTACACCTGTGATGCTTGTAGTGTATTAAGTTGATATCATCATTTTTCATATGAACTTTTCAGAATTAAGAATTAGCTTGAGTTTTTATATGATGTTTCTCTTTTGAATTTTATCATGAATTTTAAATGTGTTTTGATATGTTGAGTTGTTTTGTATTACAATGACATGTACTTTTCCTCTTGCATTTTCAGATTAAAATTTTGCTTTCAAAGCATGTATGAAATAATGAGAATTATTGCTTATACTGTAACTGTTGGAGCAAAATATTTATAAAATAGTATAGTTATTCTGATTATGGCGGTTTATTTTAATTGATCAAAGTAACAAATTTAAAGTTCTATAGTTAGTTAATATAGAGTAGTTGTTTTTAGAAGTATGGTAAATAAAAGGAAAGTTAAAATAAAAAATTATAGTCAAAGCTTGAAAACTGGAAGGCATTCTGAACATCACATGGATTAACCTTTTATGGAAAGGAAGCTGACATTGTTGGTTGTAGAACTGCCCTTTTCCTAGAACATTGCTGTTCCTGGAGTAATCTGGAGTAAGGCTTCATTTCGATAAACTTACAAACTCGATTGCAGACTAGAAACCATTTACATTTGAATGCTTGCATTAATTTTTATCAGGGACTAGAATACCTAGCACTTCTAAGCAAATATGATCCAAAGCAAAAGGACTTAACAAGCTGTAATGTTTAAAAAATAGTATAGTTATAATTGAACAAAAGTGAAAAGTGATTTAAATAGACAAAGCCTTTGTGCCCCCACGTCCCATCCTGGAATAATATATCTAGTGCATATTTGATTTGTGGAAGATTATGTTGCAGTTTATAAATATGCAAATAAACATTTGTTTATTACTACTCAGTAATAGGATTTTTTGAGTGGAAGAAATAGGAGGGAAGTGGGAAAATAAAAATTAATTATATTAATATTGTAACTGTTAAGTACTTACATTTCCCCCACAATATTGTCTTGTACTGTATGATTTTTCAGCATTTAAGAAGCGGTTTTGTTCTTTATAGCTGAACCAATAACGTTTCCATCTGGAGGAGGCAAGTCATTTATTATGGGTTCTGATGATGTTTTGTTAAGTGTACTGGGCCTTGGAGACCTTGCAGACTTGACGGTAACAAATGATGCAGACTATAGTTATGATGTAAGTGCAGTTTTATTTTTAATTTTTTAATGATTTAATAGAAGGCTCCTTATTTTTTTTGGAAACACTTATAAAACAGAATTAATGTCAAGGTGCATGGAAAAGATAAGTTTAAGTGTGTCAGTATGTTGATTTGAAGTGACGTAGTTTTTCTTTTGTAACTACTTGCCTTGTGGTGTTTAAATTTTTCTTAGGTATTGTGGTGGATTAGCTAGAAGTTTGGGGTGATTGATTACCTTATCATATTGGTTGATAAGTATCTATCTTGAGTAGTCAACTCTCAATTATCTACTCAAATTAAGCCATATTATGGTGTTAACAAGAGAAAAATAGGTAACCTGAATCACTTGCCTTCAGGATACTTCTTAAAAATTATGTTTTATTTTTAAACTTTTATTTTTTTTAAGGATAATGTTAAAGTTAGCTTGCCATTTCCTGAACACTTACTTAGTCCTTCATTTGAGGGATGGGGAAAGGATGGAGATTGGATGGGAAGGATAGTGTTTAGAGGTGAAACTAGTCTTGAACTAAATTTTTTATAGACAATAAACACTCAATTGAGAGTTAACTATACTTGTTTAGATTTTGTATGAATGAATTTGCAGTTTTTCAGCAAATTAAATTTTTCCCTTTTATAACAAACTCCTTTTTTCTACATGTTATACTTATGTTTTACCTATATTAGCATGCTTTTAGAGACATCAGCCTTGGTGGGCTGGATTATTATTCTCATTTATATTTTCAAAGTATATAAGCAACTAAATTCTATTAAACTTTTGACTACTTTAGAAGTGGTTTCACAGCCTATCTTTACAGATGGAGAAATGAAGGTAAAAAGATTAACCTCGTACCAATATCAACAATGATAATAAAGATAAGATGACAATATTCAAGTGTCTTTAGTTCAGACTTTTGGAAAGTATCTTAATCTGCTGCCTTTAAAAATTTCACATGCTAATTTTCCAAATGACAACTGTATTTAATACTGTTCTCTTGGATTTTTGGTAGTAATTTATATAATTTTTATTGTTTCCATGTAAAACATTGCAGCATGGTTATTTTTTTGTTCTCATCTCACATTTAATAGGACCTTTGGGTTTAGGTTTACCTGATGATTAGGTAAAACAGATTAAGAAACTCTTCATTTGATATAGGTATTTGAAAGCTAATTGAAGTTATTCTTCTTAGTATCATTTGTTAAATGATAAAGATTGGTTATCAAGTTTTTAAGGTACATTAAATTTCCACTGGACATTTTATCAAAGCAGTTTAATATGTATATTTTAAACACGCCAAAACACACGAAACTCCACATGCCTATGAATTTACTACTTTTACCACTTAATATTGGACTCTTTCTTTGTAGTTGCCTGCCAATAAAGATGCCTTTCGAAAGACATGGAATCCCAAGTATACACTACGTAGCCATTTCGATGGAGTACGGGCATTAGCTTTTCATCCTGTAGAACCTGTGCTGGTTACTGCCTCTGAGGACCATACTCTGAAACTTTGGAACTTGCAAAAAACAGTTCCTGCCAAAAAGCAAGTATTTTCATATTAGCCTGTCTTTTTTTTTTTCTTCCAAATTTGCTAATAATTATAAGCAATTCTTCTTCTTTGTCATCCTATTTATGCATTCATTTGATCTTACCTAATGATTCCTGAATGTCAGCCAGTGATTTGAAGTTATTTAATTACCTTCTCCTCCCCCACCCTTGTGTTCTCCTCTTTTAGGAGTGCCTCTTTAGATGTAGAGCCTATCTACACATTTAGGGCCCACATGTAAGTTTTATTGAATTTGTATTTAAATTAACAGCCATAGTTATTGTTCACTATTTTTTATCAATCTTCAAACCTTGTAATTTTCTCATAATGTTTGCTTTTTATTAGAAAATATATTAGTTGAGTAATATTTTGATTAATAATTGTATTAGTGAGAATATAATCAGTACTATTCAAGTTTACATGTTTATTTTAAACAGTTTTTAGATATCATGTAAATTTAGAGGTTGGGGGAGTATGGATTTGAGTTTCTTCTTAGGCTTCATAAGTAATTTTTTCCTTCTTTTCCTATAATAGTGGTCCTGTTCTATCACTAGCTATTAGTTCTAATGGAGAACAGTGTTTTAGCGGTGGTATAGATGCAACCATCCAGTGGTGGAATATGCCTAGCCCTAACGTGGATCCATATGATACATATGGTAAGTAAAAGACTTAAAACATTTTTTAAGTGAATGGAGCTGACAAAATATTATTATAAGGTTGTTTTAACATGTATCGGTCTCCTCTTTTAGCTTTCATTTAATTTGCTTTGTTAAAGAGAAAAATTAAGAAATATTGTGCCACGGAATATTTAAGCCTGGGAATTGGTACTTTATTGTGTCCGAAAATAAAAAACTATGTTATTTAAAACGTCAATTTTAGTACTAGCTAACAAAAAGGAAGAGAATAAAATTTAATAAAAAGAATAATATATTAAACTATTTTAATCTATTAAAAAATAGTTTATGTAGTTCAAAACTATTGGCAGAAGACAATAGAAACTAATAGGCACAGTCGTGTAAATCAGGACAATTTTTTAGAGGACAAAAAATTTCTTAATTAAAAAAAAAACCTTTTACTCATAAATGTCACTTTAGAATATGTCCCACAGAAATACCTGTATATGTATTCAAATATATTTATAAGGGCAGTGTTTGCAATTACAAAAAAAATAAAATTAAATGAATATTTATTAGTTTGAGAATAGCTAAATAAACAATGGTCTACTTAATGTTTGGTTCATTCAAAAAGAATTCAAGAGCTCCTTGGTCTTTTTATTTAACATACACTTGGTGCCTTACCTTGCCAAGTAGAGTGTTAAGTACTACATCAAGAAATAATAATTAGTCCAATGGAAAAGACAGACATTAAATAAATAAATAAGGGGGTGGAGTCTGTGGTTAAAAATTATGGTAAGTGGTATGAAGATACAGTACTATGAAAGAGTGACAGAATCTTGAGTTGTAGTCCAAAATAGTGACATTTAGGCCAAGGAGAATAGCTTAGGGGTGGGAGAAGTGGAGAAAAGAATACTGATGTAAAGTTCTAATGTAGTGCTCTAGTAGAGTAGGTGAGAGATGATGTTTCCAAGATCATAGTGGCGATAAACCAGTTGGTAGCAAAGCAGTTGGTGAAAAATGAATTTATGATATATTGGGGAGGTAAGGTAGAATAAGCAGAATCTACTGAAAAATTGGATTGAGTAGAGAAATTGATGGATAAGTGATTCTTGATTTTGTTACTTTTAAAAACAGCTTTATTGACATTCACATATGATAAAATTCACCCTTGTTAAGTATATAGTTCAGTGGTTTTTACTATATTCACAGGGTTATGCGGCCATTACCACTATCTAATTCAGAACATTTTTACCACCACTCTGTATTTTTTGACATGAGCAATTGAGTATATAATGGTTACATATTGAAATGGGGGCGGAACAGTTGTAAGAAGATTAAAGATGGTGAGTTCAGGGGCGCCTGGGTGGCGCAGTCGGTTAAGCGTCCGACTTCAGCCAGGTCACGATCTTGCGGTCCGGGAGTTCGAGCCCCGCATCAGGCTCTGGGCTGATGGCTCAGAGCCTGCAGCCTGTTTCCGATTCTGTGTCTCCCTCTCTCTCTGCCCCTCCCCCGTTCATGCTCTGACTCTCTCTGTCCCAAAAATAAATAAAGGTTGAAAAAAAAAAAATTAAAAAAAAAAAAAAAAAAAGATGGTGAGTTCGGTTTTTAGGCATGTTAAGAAATGGCATATCAAGTAATTAATATCAAGATATGAGAATGGATTGTATAATACAGGGAGAGCACGTTGTGTAGGGCATGAAGAGAAGACAAAGTCCTGAGCAACTCTGACATTGGGAGAGTGACTAGAGCAAGAGAACCAACAAAGGAAACTGAGGAAGGAAGAGGTGCAGGACAATGGGATCTTGGAAGCATACCAAAAGAAAAAGCCATTTTGAGAAGAAGGAAGCATTCTGCACTTTGAAATGTTGCTGAGAAGTATAATAAGGATAGAAAGGTTCCTTTTTATAAGTGTCAAATAGGTCACCCAGGTTTTAGCTGGCTGGAGGTTGGATACTGGGATTAAGACCAGAAGGTAAAGGGACCTCTGGGCAACTTTTCTGGGCACACTCTGAATGAAAAGCAGTGTGATGAGAATAACAAAGAAATCTTCAAAGACAGAAAAATTTTTTAAACTTGCTAGAAGAGAATTCATCATTGGTGATTTTAGCAAGGATTGTTTTGGTGTAGTGATGGTATCAGAAACCAGATTAGACTGATTGAGAGAGTGAATGAGAGATAAAAAGCATAATTATTTAATATGCCTTTCTGTTGGTCTCTTGGAATGGTGATGTAAGGTTAAGGTTTTTCTTTAAGCCAGGAGATTCTGGAGCATATTTGTTTGCTGTGGTAATGATCCCAAGGAGAAGGAGAATTACTGTATAGTAGGGAAACTGTCATCATGAAAGCAACTTAGTGAGTTGAATGGAATCCAGAATATACGTGATAGAATTAGCCTTTGATAAGAAGGAGAACAATTCCTGGGGTGCCTGGGTGGCTCAATCCAACTTCAGTTTAGGTCATAATCTCACAATTCCTGAGTGTGCTGACAGCAGAGAGCCCACTATGGATCCTCTGTCACCCTCTCTCTCTTCCCCCTCCCTTCTCTCTTTCTCTTTCAAAAATAAACAAACATTTTTTTAAAAAAAGGAAAATTCCTTACTTCCTATATGGAAGCAAGGAGAAGATGGCTTTAGACACTAGTAGATTGGGTGGTGGAAAGATGGGGGAGAGGTTCTTCAGTGTTCTATTTTCTCAGTGAAGTAGATAATCATTCATGAGGAAGGGGGGTTGGGAACTATGAGAATTCTGGAGATAATAAGAAATACCTGTGGAGGGGTTCCTGAGTGGCTCAGTCAGTTAAACGTCTGACTTTTGGGTTTGGCTCAGGTCATGATCTCATGGTTCATGGGTTTGAGCCCCTCATCCAGCTCTGTGCTGACAGTGCGCAGCCTGCTTAGGATGTCTGCAGATAGGAAATGTCTCCCCTGTTTGCGCTCTCGCTCTCTCTCAAAATAAACATTAAAAAATTTTTTTTTAAAATAGCCGTGGAAAGTGGAAGTTTACTAGAGATACAGGATTGTAGGACAGATTGTGTACAGTGTTATTTTCAGCTACCATGTCCATCAAATGATGATAAAATGTAGTATGTCCATACCGTGGATATTACTCAGCATTAAAAAGCAAGTACTGACATGCTACAGCATGAATGAACCTTGGGAACATTATGCTAAGTGTAAGAAGCCAGTCACAATTGGCTGTTTGTATGAAATGTCCATAATAAACAAACTTCTAGAAACAAAGTAGATTAGTGGTTACATAGGGCTGTGGAAAAGCAGGGAGAATTGGGATGGGGAAGGCGTGGCTAATGAGTGATGAAAGTGTCCTAAAATTGAGGTGCTGATGATTGAATAACTCTGTGAAGATACTAAAAACCACTGAACTGTACACTTTAAATTGGTGAATTATATGGTATGGGAATTATATCTCATTAAAGCTGTTTGTTAAAAAGTGTATGTTCTTCATAAGCTAGAGTATATTATGCTAAGCGAAATAAGTCAGAAAGATAAATACCATATGATTTCACCATGTGGAATTTAAGAAACAAAACAGATGAACATAGGGGAAGGGGGTCGGGGGAAAGAAAGGAAAGCAAATCTGAAAATAGACTCTTAACTGTAGAGAACAAATAGGGTTGATGGAGGGCAGGTAGGCATTAAGGAGGGCCCTTGTTCTCCTGAAACTAATATTACACTGTATATTAACTAAGTAGAATTTAAATAAAAACTTAAAATTAAATAAAATTAAACTCAAGACAAAATAAAAGCATAAAAAATTGCAAAAATACAGGAGAGTATTGTGGGGGAGATAAAAATAACCCATAATTCCACAATTTAGTGATGACCATTGTGTACACTTTGGTTATCTTCTTAGGGCCATTATATGTAGTCTTTTATACATAATTATATGGTAAGTTATCTTTATCCAAAACATTTCTTTCCAACTGTTTTAAGCTAATTTTTGTTTGTTTGTTGTTTCTTCCCAGAGCCAAATGTTCTAGCTGGCACTTTAGTTGCACATACAGATGCTGTCTGGGGTCTTGCTTATAGTGGCATAAAAAATCAATTACTGTCTTGTTCAGCAGATGGCACTATTAGGTTATGGAATCCACAAGAAAAATTGCCATGTATTTGCACTTACAATGGAGACAAGGGTGAGTATATTTTGCCCTATAAAAAAGTTACCTTTTTAATAATTTGGAAGATACAAACAACAAAGCAATTGATTTACTATTTCTTTGCTACTCCAAGAGATGTATTGAAAGAATTTTATAATGCTTGTGATACTCTTTTTACTCGTAGTCATTTCTTATAAACAAGAAAGGTGCTTTACAAGTACATCCTATAGCTTGGTGCCTTTTGACCTTTTCAGGACATATCCTATTTAAAAAATAAAACTGTTTGTAGTTTGTAATAGTGCAGTAGACAAATGAGGCCGCTTATAGGAACAACTTGAAACCCTCCACCAATTCCAGGTGGCTGCCCACAAAGACTAAAGGGATCCCAGTCTTAAGCATAGCTGATACCATGTTATGAGCACATTGGTTGAGAAGTCTAATAATCATTGAAATAGTAACCTTAAGAGGGAAGTACAAATTGAGTTAGTTACTTGTACAGTTTCAAATATTCTCCTGTCAATAAAGCTTTAGGCAATTTGCTTTGCGATAACTTTTATTTATGTACATATGTTTATGTTTTAGCATTACTCATATTTGAGTCACTTTAAAGTTATTTTTAAAAATCAGACCTTTAAAACTATGTTGTATTTTAGATGAATTATATATGCTTAATTTTGTTAAGTCTCTTCAATACATTAGTGATTCTACTAATTTTTCAATTACCCAAGCTTTTGAGGTAAAAATTGATTTAGATATTTGTTTCTTACTTCATCTGGGTAATTAATTGCTTGACTCTGGATTTCACCTAATTGTGCATTAATCTGGCCCATTGACTTCAATAAAGAGAGAAATTGCTGCTCTGGACATGGCAGGATAGTAATGCATTGGCAGATTCCAGACTCTAAGCTTTATGTTCACAGATCCAAAAATTCAATCTGTATGAGCTACATGATGAGGCTTATAGGTCTCAAACGGGTGTATTCTCCCACAACAGTGATGTAAGAATGCTAATTTATCATTTTACGGTAAAAAATAATGTTGGCAAGTCGACCAGCAGACTTACCTTGGATTTTTTTTTTCTTTCTTAGCAGAAAATGCATAAGAGAATTAACTTCTGCACATATCTCTTCTTAACTTTTGAGCCCTCTGTTTTTCTTATGATGTTAAACAGAATATTATAACAACTTAAAATAATTAAGGGAAAATTTACCTGTTGTATCTCACTATCCTAATATAATCACTCTCGTTTTCATTATTAACATTATTTCAAAAATACTTGAGAAAAGCAGGGATTTCTAAATTGTTTTTACTTTGTGTCTCTTTGGGGATCCTTTTCAGAGCATGGAATCCCTACATCAGTTGACTTTATAGGCTGTGATCCAGCTCATATGGTGACCTCTTTCAACACTGGTAGTACAGTAATTTATGATTTAGAAACATCACAATCATTGGTGATGCTTTCCTCACAGATAGATTCTGGTAAGTTTCCATAAGTTTCTTTGAAACCTTACAAGATTATTAAATAATAGCAATAATCTTAATTTTCACATTTTGACTGTTTGAATTTATGATGAAAAAATAGTTTTAATGCGTTGTAGTTGTACTCATTTACATTGTTTTCTGCTGTTCTCTCAAATTATGCTTAAAAGCTTAGAGAGTATAGGGGACAGAGTAGAGCAACACAAATGCAAAAGGGGAGTTTATTTGTTTTAGTTTAGTTTAGTTTAGTTTATTTAAGTTTATTTAAGTTTATTTATTTATTTTGAGAGAGAGAGCACAAGTGGAGGAACAGAGACAGGGGGATACAGAGAGAATCCCAAGCAGGCTCCTCACCATCATCATAGAGCCCGATGTGGGGCTCGAGCTCATGAACTGTGAGATCGTGACCCGAGTCAAAATCAAGAGTTAGATGCTTAACCGACTGAGCCACCCAGGCGCCCCGAGGGAAATAATTTTTAAAAAAAA